TTTAAAATGAGTTTTCCGAAAAAAAAGAGCACTGATGCATTGTATAATTCTGGAGAATTGGCACAAGAAATTGCTTTGAAGATGTGCTGATAACAGCGGATGATGAGAAACTGCGTGATCCGGAAGGTTACGCGGCGATAGCACAGTTGCATCAGCAGATGGATGATGATCAGTCCGGCTCCATTGATCGATTCGAATCAACTGATGTTAGCGATGTTTCTTGCCAATTACTGCACTTTCTCTTTGCGTTTATGCAAATGCAAGAAAAACGCATATTGGCGCAACCCTATGCGTATATATACGTATGCGTTCGTGTATTTGTGTGTGCCGTTGTAGAAGAAAAGGGGAAAGGCACAATGTGCTGCTGCTGCAATCAGCGTGCTGGAAACTCGATGGTTGAAACCATAGGATGACTTTCAACAGTCTAATACATCGGGGAATCTGCGGGGCAAATTCAGTTCGTAGGTTCTTGCGGAAATTGTTTTCTCGTTTCTTCAGTTCTTAAAAGAGGATATGCAACTTGGTGGATCAGATCGTGCACAGCGTGAACGCGTTTTCCATCACAATAATGACGAATTGATCACTGTTGATGATATGTGGGAAGCATGGTTTGCATCTGAGGAACGTTCCTGGACAACTGCTGATCTGGTGAAATGGCTCGAAAACTCGGTCCGTCTTCCACAGTACGCGTCCATATTTATTGGCATGGAAATTGATGGTCGTAGTTTGCCGAGGTTGGTGTTCGTCCTTTGATCCATATCTTGAACTAACAAAAACGGAAAGCTTTTCGAGCGCAACGATAGCACCCAGCAAATGCACGTACAACGAGTGATAGCTCTTCAGAGTGTAACTCTTACCATCCTGGAACAAATGTAAATTCGCCCTCATCCATGCGGCTTGCAGCTTTTTCCAGTTGCTTTGACCAGTGTTGCATCGTTTGGAGTTAGCTTGATTCTCTTGTTCGTTTCATTTGCTCAAGAGCTTGCCATTCTCTCGACAGAAGGACTGGCTCTGTTCTGTGCTCGCATAATAGAACTTGAATAATTTAACCTGAATGTCACCATCAGTATGTGTATAGCTAAAACAATTGAGAGCGTAGCGCTCGTAATGCAAGTAATGCACACCCCCAGTATCACCAGTCCAGGTTTACGGGGTTGTCTGTGTTCTACTCTCAGGCGAGTGATTTGCTTGGGATCTGTAAAATCAACTTTTTGTGCGTTCTTTGCATTTATGCAATACAAAAAACTCACTGCTGTGCTTGGGTAAGCATAAATGGAAATGATTTTCACAATCTCCTTTACATCTCGTTCAAGAATGTGGAAAATTGACGTTGACAGTTTTGCAACTCTGCAATTTAACTACCTAGAAAAATGAAATTTTTTGAGCATATTCCGCGGCCTTGTGTAAGAAAATACACCCAAAAGTGATTGGGGAATTTGCCAACTGCACAGCCAAAGAAATAGGCTATGAATAACGACCGGTTCTTGTAAGCATGTAATATAGGGAGTAAAAACGAGGGAAGTTATGTGTGTAAAAAAATGCTCTTTTGCTTATACATTCTGTGCTACTTCAACTGCTTACACTTACACGTCGTATTTTGGTAATGACTGATATTACAGTTGACGAGTTTTAGGATGGCAGTTGCCAATTCGACATATTTGGCGTCTGATTTAGGCATCAAAAATCCTGTTCACAAGCAGAAATTACGCTTGAAAGCACTGGATGTCGTCCTTTTTGGATTTACTGGTTTGTTAAACTTGCATTTTTTATTTTCAGCTGGTACCTAGTTTTGAGCAGGAGACTTCCAAAATGAGCTTGTTTGGTGTATTGGTAAGTGTATAGGGCGCTACAAAGAATGTAATTTTGCACATAGTTAAAAACATTTTTGATTTGAACACGCATTTTCCTTTTTTTCTTGCGACGGGATGAGGGAAAAGTCATTTTATTGGACTTCACAATTTAGAATTCATCCTATTCTATATATGAATAATTTGTTAGTTTTATTTTATTGTTTTTTAAATTTAGATATTTTATGATTATAAAGGATAGTAAAAGGATGAAAATGAAAAATAAAATAAAAATGAAATCTGAATTGGAATGTTTCGGTCCATCAAGTCACATACATTCCTATTCAGTGCTGCAACTGGACCTCGTCAGTGTGACGGATGCAGCAGAAATATAGGTAATGGATTGTTTTTCAAAGAATCGAAAGCCAAAAAAACCCTTCTTTATTCATTTTCCGTGAGAGAAGAGGGCACTCGTGTAGTACGTGCCCATCAGTAACCAGTAGCAGGCAAGAATGTCGTTGACTGTGTCTCCCGAGAGCTGCTTCGAAGGGAGCTGTGGGCACGACTCCCTGGCAGTCGCCTTACAACGACTGACTGAATGGTGAGGGGCTGGTTCTTCTACTGGCGGAGCTGGATCATCGACTGAAGCAGGTGGGCAGAGCTGCAGCTATTTATATTTGAGGAAATGCTACTTCTCGTGCGAAAGACATTGCACTGTCGGTGCTGCTTGTGGTGCTTGTAACTGTGCTGTTCATCCTGAAAAGGCAGCGAACACGGTCACATAGGCAAATGGAACAGCTTGCCTCGAAATTATCGCAACTCAAATCAATGCAAAGCCATTTCGAGGATGTCCAACAGCGGTACTTTTTGATCACTTCGCTTGCTTACTTAAATTTTGTTACTTCTGATAAAGAGGAATAGTTATTGTTGGATGAATCTTTCACTAGAGATGCCAGGGTCGGACTGATTCGAGGCAG